TCGTGATATTTTGTTGGTATTTTCTCTTCGTTCCATATAAGTTTTATTGGTTTTTGTAATTGTCTATGTAAAGTTTCTCCTCCATACTTAAGAAATTCGGCTGGTATATTGTCAGAGCCTGGAGCTTTTGCGTTCTTCAATTTGTTAATTGCTTGCAATGTTTCGTCTATTTTTGGGTACTCCACCGGTAGGTCCACCCCAAGGTATATATCCTCTCCATGTTCTTTATCTTGGTGTATATTAAGTAAATTTTTGAAATATTCTTGCCATGTTTGGAGTAATTCTTGTTCGTTGATTATTAATTCATCATTATTTTTCCTCAGTAAAGACACGCAGTTAGGTCTGAATCCTCTCTTTTTGTTTGACACAGATTTGTAAAATGCTCGACTATTTGACTGTTGTCTATTTCTTTTCATTTCTTCATACTGCTGTTGTTCGTATTTTCTTATTTTCTCTCTAATTAGTTTTCATGTTTCTCGTCGTGATGTTGTATAGTTTTCTTTACTTTTTGTTTTTTCTTGTTGAAGCATAATGTTCCGCTTTTTCTGCCTGTCTTGTAGTTTTTCTCGGCATTCTTTATCATAACATTTCCTTGTTTTCGTCCTTCTTTTTCCTATTATTAGTTCTGCTGACTCTGTAATTGATTTTTCCATTTGTTGCCACAGCCTTTCGACATCATTGCTCTGGTCTATTCTATTTAGATGTTGTTCCATTTCCTGTACGTAATTGTCTCGGATTTCCTTATTTTGCGTTTTCTCAATGTTCCACTGTCCCAATGCTTCGTTCGTTTTCAGTTTCTGTGATGATATTCTTAACCTGTCAAGAATCTCTTGGGATAAACAAAGCAAAAAAAGAACCAGGAAACACCTCTAGTAATTTAATGTAGGGTGCCACTTGGAGGTACCTAATTATACCTATTACAACCACTAGTTGTAACTAGGGAAATAATTATAAAAAAATCAAAATATATCTGGGCGACATTTTTGTAACGATAACTTGGGATACTATTAAAAAAAGGTTAATTTAAAAAATAAACAAAATGTTAAGAAACAGATTTAACATTTATTTTTGTGTCACTACAAACAGTTACAACATAGACAATGCGAAAATGTTACAACAATAATCGAAAAAAACAAAAATAGAAAAGAAACTTTCTTGTTTTTAATATTGGTATTTTTACTCTCTCCTTTTGTAAACTGATGATGAAATGATTCAATTCCGAAAAGATCTCTTTAAATTAAAAATTTTAAGCTTTTAATAAGCGCTTTTTTTATACCTTAATACACACAAACACCAAGTGCTTTGAAAATATTAATAAGTTTTGATCTTTTAATCTTAATCTGAAAAAATTGTAAGCTGTCTTGATACTTTAAAATATTCTAGCAGGAAACTGTTCGCACTGTTCTTTGGTTGACATGACATATTTTGGGAACGCAGTCAACTTGTTAATAAGGAATTTAAAATTCTTCATATTCAAAATTAAAGTCTTAAGCTATCTTTGTTAGAATCTATGAAAAATAAAAAATTTAAAAAACACAAATGTAATTCTGAACGACCAACTTGAGACAAACAGTTCACACACACAATCACGCTAAGCGATCAACCCTACCCCTAGGAACATGTGTATACCAATCTAAGAGTGGGATCTACATGTCCGAAGATCAAACCGGTTACACTTCACTAGTTGAAGTGGTACCTATCTGACCCCAGGCTTTTCCATCACCCCTCTCATCGTGTGACTTACGGGAGGAGGCTTATGATCTGAAAGTTACTTGAGGTGCCCTGGGTAATGAGACACCTTCTGTTTTTAATGACTGTGGTTATGCCACCTGACTGTAGAGGTAGCCACATCTAGGCTTTTCTCCCTATTTACTTCACAGACTCTATAGATTTTACTCTAACATCACTTTGGGACTTGAGTCCCTAAAAAAAAAAGAGGGTCCGGCCACCAAGTTCATGTATGCAGCACATGGTCTCAGTGCTCGGGTTTCGCGAGTGGATCAGTATTCATTCGATCCGCCTTAAGGGCCTAGTCCGCATGAGCGGTATATAGAAGGCCTGGCGGGCTTTCTATATGGAAAAGGTAAAGTGAATTTACGTTAAAACGTTTAGTGAAATAAAATTAATTTAAAAGTACTGAATTTAAAAGAAAAACAACCGATTTTTTTTTGGTTTGGGGGTCTTCCTTGGCGTTGGGACTATAAAATGCCGGCACAATTCTTAGCCTTTTATTCTTACATGCTAGTTTGTGTGAGTGAGTTGGGGTGTGCATTGAAGGGTGTATATGGCCTCCACAAACTCTTTTTATTGACGTCCTTGCGACCATCTTATTTTTCATTTATTCGTTAGGAACACTATATCCGGCTATTTGCTGTTTAGGTCTTCTGTGTACCGTCCTGGTATTTGCATTCTAGTTAGTCAGCTCTCTTAACATGCTACTTGGGTGGTTGTTTAGTCCGTTGAATAGTTTGTATGCCTTCTTGTCTAACCTGTGTAGGATCCTTGTTTGTCCTGAGTCTTTGTATAAATTTCTCAGAGGTACGTATCTTGGTAGGTTCAGGGCATCTCTTATTAATTGATTCTGCCCTGTTTGTATTTTCTTCCTGTTTGTTTTACAGGTGTGTCCCTACGTAGCAGAGGCATACGAAAGGACTGGCAGGATAATTTACTAATAATAGTTTACTTCTTCTACCAATAAGCGTTGAGAGCTGATTTTTCAGCGCTTTGGCTCTATACGTAAGCTGATTTATGTGCTGCGTAAAGTTTCTTGTCTAGTAACACCCCTAGGTATTTAGCCTCGTTTGTCCATTCTACTGGGATGTTCCTAATTGTTATTTCTCTTTTCGGTACACTTCTTCTGTGACTAAACATTACAGCCTGTGTTTTATCCGGGTTTAAGGCTATTTTTCATTTGATGTACCATCTTTCGAATCTATTAAGTGCTTTCTGCAGATGATTAGCTGCATGATCTGGATTTCTCCAGCTGACAGCTATTGCTGTGTCGTCAGCGTAAAGACTTAACAGGGATCCTGGTTCTTTTGGCGTGTCGGCCGTATAGATGGTGTACAGGTACGGCGACAGCACAGCTCCCTGAGGCACACCTGGTTGCAGGGTCCCAACTTAGGACATGGTTGCCTCTGTTCGAACCTTGAACCTTCTGTTGGCTAGGTATGATCCAAGGAGGCATCTCATTGCCTCGCTGTATCCAATAGAGTTCATTTTATAAATGAGTTCTTCATGCCAGTTCCTGTCAAATGCTTTACTGACGTCCAGAAATGCTGTTGCCGTGTTTATTTTTTCGTTATAGCCTTTTGTTGTGAATTCTGTGAAATGTAGAAGTTATAGTTCGCATGAATTGAGACAAACAGTTCTCCCCTTCTCACCCTATTTCATTAGAGACTATAAAGTGTAAACGCATTCCAAAAATAGATCAATTGAGAACAGCAATCAGTTGAAACCGCTGTAGTGATAATAGTTTATAATAAATGTTGTGGAAATTAAAAAAAAAAAGTTTTTCAGTGTTTTATTTTTACATTTTAATTATCTCATATTTCAGCATGTTTATAGTAATTGAGTATCGTTACTCAAGTTTATCCAAAACTTTAATTATAACAATTAAACTTTTGTGTCCTACATTCAACATATTCAGCTTTCCACATCTCACCTTTACCAACACACGGATGTAATGATTACGATGTTTTCCATCCCTTCCTGAAATTGTGTACAGCCCAAGAAACTTACGGCACGTTGTAATACTTCTTTCTGCAGCCGGTGTTACGTGTCTAGAGTTGCTCCAACTTCAACATTGCGATGTACTTCCGGAGTTCCGAAACCGCACCCGCACGAGGCTTCTAGCAATTCAATCAGGGAGTTGAAGTGGAAGCCGAGAAGGTGACAATGTCGGAATGTATTATACTGTCGATAGAATTTCAAATTGTTGAGGCATTCACGGATTGGAAAAGTATATAAAGGTATTAAATATTTGTACATTGTGTTTAACGTACGTTCAACGGAGTATACACAAAGTGTTTAACTTGTGATTGTTAAAGCCACCTTTATACCTTAAATTGGCTGCACATTGGTTACACATAGTTCATACATACAGTGTATGCAGAAAGTAACTTAGTTCTTGAATTCTTATAGGTTACTTTAGGAATTAGAAGCTTTTTAGATAAAGTTGTTTGTCTATGCAAATCTAAATTCTCTATACGAAAAAAAAAAAGATTTTATGTCAAACAATAGATTTATGCTTCGATAATCAAATGAATTCTGTCTGTCTCCTAACATAGATAACGCTGCAGTCTCAATATATCTATCTTGAATTAAACAGAAATATAATACTTTACTTTTCGTTTGTAATCCTCTACTATAGTTTTGTTCTATGTCCACCTTCCCTATATTTTATCATTCGTAAGGATGTGGTGTAACGTTATGGTATTTGACAAATCGTTGCTATCCATTCTTCTCTCTCCTGGACGCGATGTGCTGCTTCAGACAGAGCGTAACCGGTTGCGCACTTTATTTGGTCTGACCATCGGAGTGGCGATCTTCTTCGAGATATTTTACCATTTACCTTGCCTTTAGCTACCAACCTCTCCATTCTTTCCTTTCATCTGGTAATGTGGCCAAAGTACCTCAATGTATTTTGGTTAATGATTATGGTAAGCCCAGTATTAATGTCCAGTTCTGTCTATATTGAGACATTTGTGCGATATGCTGTCTAAGGTTATGCTTATCATTCTACGATATACCCACATTTCAAAGGCCATTATATGTCGTGAGTCGGACTTTTTAATGGTCCAAGTTTCTGACGCATAGATAGCGATAGGCAAGATAAGCGTCCGTACTAGGCGCAGTTTTGTGTACCTGGTTATGTCCGTATTTTTACTTTCTTTACCTTCTTTACCTTCTTTACCTTCTTTACCTTCTTTGCCTTCTTTACCTTCTTTACCTTCTTTACCTTCTTTACCTTCTTTACCTTCTTTACCTTCTTTACCTTCTTAACCTTCTTTACCTTCTTCACCTTCTTTACCTTCTTCACCTTCTTTACCTTCTTTGCCTTCTTTACCTTCTTTACCTTCTTTACCTTCTTTACCTTCTTTACCTTCTTTACCTTCTTTACCTTCTTTACCTTCTTTACCTTCTTCACCTTCTTTACCTTCTTTACCTTCTTTACCTTCTTTACCTTCTTTACCTTCTTTACCTTCTTTACCTTCTTTACCTTCTTTACCTTCTTTACCTTCTTCACCTTCTTTACCTTCTTTACCTTCTTTACCTTCTTTACCTTCTTTACCTTCTTTACCTTCTTTACCTTTTTAACCTTCTTTACCTTTTTTACCTTTTTTTACCTTCTTTAAAAAACCAAAATAAAATAATGTCAAAAATAATGAGGCTAGATGCCAGCTGTCATATGCCAAAACAACATTTTAAGAGAGAATAGTTATGACATTTATATTAGCCACGTCCTAATACATATAATTTTATTTATTACAGATTCTTAAATTTTAAACTAAAGCAATTATTGTTATTAGAAAAAAAATGTTTGTCTTACTATGAAAATTAAACACAAAATGTTACCTCAGTTTTCACATAAAATTTTACACTGGAATTTTAGCTAACATCTCTGGGGTAGAAGTAGGGTGGAAAATTTCTGAACAGGAACAAAAGAAAACTGTCTCCATAGTTTGCAACGACGATCAGGGACAACAAAAATGAGAACAAAACAAACAATTTTTGACACAATGTGACAACAAAACAAATGAACAACATTTTGTTGGAAACAAAATTCACTGGCACTTTGTGGGCACACCCTATACGCCGCTTTAAATATATTCCATATTCTGGTATACTGCACAAATCCCTTCAATATTTAACAAAATACTTAGTGGTTAATCTTTCTTAATTTGTCATATTACAGATAGTAATTTCCACAAGAGTCAGATCTCAACCACTTAAACCATTTTACAAAATTGCTGGTTTTGCTGGTTAAATTGCCCACACGTCCGTTCAACGTGAAGACCTTCCAAAACATCTCTGCTTTCTATTTCGATCTCAAAACCAAACGCCAATCACCTCCCCCCTTCGCTTCTCACACCACGTACTCACCAAGGAACCCGACTCCAATTCGTTACGACTTACCAATCGTGAAAAATAACCTTGGATCTACTTCCAGCGTTAATGCGTCTTAGAAAAATGAATAAAAGACTGGCAATATTTTTTCTAGGAACGTCAAACTTAAAACGCAATATATCGATCGTTTTAAAATTCCTTTGCAAACAGATAAACAAAAATTATATCTCGGAGAGGGGCGTTCTACAAAATTTTATACATAAATATTTCATAGTTAAAAAAAATTAAAACGCTACAACCGTAGTTGGACCAGTTCTATACCTAATTTTTAGCGTATATTTTTTTTATTAATTTTTTTTAATCCTGATCTACAAATGGGCACCATTAAAGAAGAAATTGCAATTTACTTCTTCTTTTTCTTCTTCTTAATTAGATATTTATATATACATAAAAACAAAAAGAAGAAGAATAATTTACTTAAAATAAGTATTTATTACATCTACTGTATAAGCTCATAAATAGTTTTTGTTAAAATTGTGAGACAAATGAAATTGTTATATGACACTTTCCTGCAAGTTCTTTGGAGATGTGCAAACTATCTACTTAATGTAATTTATATTACAGATATTAAAAGAATAGTAAGTTATAAAATACGTCTAAGTTTAACAGTGCAAGAACAAACCATGTATGGTATTGTATAATATGCAACAAATTGTACTTTCCAATTTTCCTCCGTTCCGACATAGAGACCCATAAAGCGCTTCAAATTGCTTATGACAGTAATTCCACACCTAGACTACGTCCATCGCGTGCATTAAATGCTGCGATTATGGCATTATAAATTTGATAAACTCGCAGAATGAACCGCTTATCTCTCCGATTTTTCTCCATTTCTGGCTCAATATTGTCGAAGGAGAATGATTTACTTATCACGGGCGCATCGATGAGCCTCTGCAGAGTCGGTTTCGAACAATAAACTGCCATTTGCAGTGGTAGTTTACGAGTGTGCATCGTATATTCTAAGAGAAGAGAGGATTCCTATCAAATAGGACAATTAAAATAAAAAATAAAATTCTTCTGATTATTATTCATTAACCTGCGTTGTTTTGCATTACTAAGATCTAATACTTTTTCTTACAAAGTAAGTAACTACAATGCCGGAAAAAATCTTTACACAGTAAGTTAAACATATAAATCAGGATACTTGTTATATTAATTTTACAAATTAATACGTTTATATATCACCTTTATATTCGATGTCAAAGACTGGACAAAATCTACAATAACGACCATACATAAAAAAGGCAGCTTCCAAAAATGCGACAATTATAGAACTATCTCTCTTATATCCCATGCCAGCAAAATAATGCTACATATAATCAATGAGAGACTGAAAACATTCCTTCAAAGAGAAATCCCACAAGAGCAAACTGGATTTACCAAAGGTAGAGGCACTCGAGAACACCTGCTGAATATAAGCCAGATAATCGAGAAATCTAGGGATTTCAACATCCCACTATACATCTGTTTTATAGATTACCGTTAAGCGTTCGACAGGGTCAAGTGGAGACACTTCTGGCGAATACTAAAAGAAGTAGGCGTACCACAACATCTAATTACGCTTATAACTAAACTATATGAATACACTACTGGATCAGTTAAAGTACTTGACACACTTTCGAACGAGTTTCATCCAGAACGGGGTGTCAGACAAGGATGTATACTATCTCCACAATTATTCAACATATATGGGGAGTATATTATGCGAAGAGCACTTGAAGGATGGAAAAAGGGCATCTCAATAAATGGTCATAAACTAAACAACCTATGTTTCGCAGATGACACATCCCTTCTTGCAAATAGTCAAGCAGAGCTGATAGAACTTATACGACTGATCGAAAACGAAAGTAAAATATTTGGTCTGCAATTAAACATATCAAAGACAAAGATTATGATAATCATCCACTCTCTCTCTTGTCGTTTCCTCATTACTGAGGATCGTGATTCCCTACAATGCGGGCTGTCAATTCTCTCCATCTCTTGCGATTTTGGGCTGCTCTCATGGACTCGGAAAACGTCTCTCCAGTGGCTTTCTGTACTTGATCTGACCATCGGATAGGTGAGCGTCCTCGGCCTCTACGTCCTTCTACGTTTCCGCACACAATTAATCATCCACACATAACCACAATTGACCGGTTCGAGGTTGTGAGCTCATACTTATATCTGGGATCATTAATCACAAACACAGGATCATTACAAGAAGAGATTAAACGTAGATGTGATCTAGCAAAAGTTGCCACAGCAAAAATAATTAAAATATGGAAGGACTGTCAAATTTTAAGAGCGATAAAGATGAGGTTAATCAACTGCTTAATATTCCCAATACTGCCTACGGATGTGAATCTTGGACTCTGAGACAATCGGAGAGAAGAAAGATAGACGCCACTAAAATGTTCTGCTGGAGACGAATGTTACGAATTCCTTGGACCGACCGCAGAACAAATAATTCAATTTAAGAGAGCTAAAAGTTAGCCAATGACTCTCTAGTAAAGTCCATCTCCAACAATTAAAATATTTTGGGCATGTTGTGAGAGCAAACGCAGAAAACATGAAAAGACTCATAATACAAGGAAAGATAGAAGGCCGAAGATCACGAGGAAGATCCCCAACAAGATGGATAGATCAAATTACAGGAATATGCCAAAGACTATGCATAAATTAAAAGAAATGACCAGAGACAGAGATCTCTGGAGACGGACAATACACGACATCACGTCGACCACTACACTCCCCCTGGGGGGTCAGTATTGAAGAGAGAGATTCGATGTCAAGCTGGATTGCCTTGAGCACGTATTAAGCAAGGTTTAAGAAATATTCTTCTTCCATGGTCACCCATAACCTCTTCATCTCCTCTTTCAGATGATTTATATTAATCAATAGACACTCTTAAGCCATATTTTTCATTTCGATGGGATTAAGGTCGGGGAAGTTACATGGCCATTCCAATACGTTGATATTGTGATTATTTAAGAAGTATGACACTGTCTTAGCCTTGTAAATAGGGACACCATAGCGTATAAATAAGCCTTATTCGTTAATTTTCCTCAACTTCAGGAGATCATTCACGTCTGATGATAGTATCAGTTTCGATGGCCGACCGTATTAACTGATGAACTGCATCTCTTGAAACACCAATATCTGTTGCTATGATAATTATAGAGTCCTCTTTCTCAAGTAACGTTAAAGCACGAACTTTCTCCTGTTGTGTGAGTTTCTTTCGACCGTTATTTTTTGCTTTAATTTAGAATTTAATAATCCCAAACTTTACTGAGTAAATAAAAAGAAGTTTAACGCTGACTACTCTCACAAATCCAACTGTACATAGTAGAAACAAACAGAATAAACTAAAGAAACTAAGTGGTCAGTAAACTAAATATAGACAGCCGCCATTGCAATTACGTTATCCAATCTGGATAACGCATAGAACACATGCAATTTTTCTTTGAATTGAGTGATTTATTTGGATATGTAAAGATTTTATGATGTGCCTTATCCTTAAGGACGTTGGCCATTACATTTGCCCATTTAATCTTATTTGAAGCAGAGCCCTGAATAGTTCTATGGAGGTCATGTTCGTCAATTGCCGTCGGTTTTTAAGCCAAGAGTTGCGTCTTCTTCCTGGTCCACTTTTGCTATTGACTTTGCCTTCGATTATAAGTTGAAGCAGTTCATACTTCTGATTTCTTATGATGTGACGAAAATATTGTGTTTTCCGTTCTTTTATTATAAGTATAAGCTCCCTTTCCTTATTTATCATCCGCAAGACTTCCGCATTTGTCGTATGGCTCATGTTTTTGCCTGTACTGTCAATTAATAATAATAACCGTCAACATCCGTCAATAATAGCTACATAAAATAGTAACAACATAATAACCGTCAATAATAACTGTCAACCGTTTCCATTTCTCTCTGTTGTCCCATTCTCCATCGTTTAAGCCTCTCTTATTCATGGTATAGTCTACTTCGTTCCTCCAGGATCTTCGGTGTTGTTCTCTTTTCCTCCTTTCTATGGGACTCCATTCTGTTATTCTCCTTATCCATCTCCTGTCGCTAGTTCTTCTTACATGTCCATACTCCTATAGTCTTTTTTATATATCAATATAAGGTTGAATGTTCGAATAAATGAACTTTGATGGTACACAAGGCAAATATCGAACACAGTAGTTAATCAAA